TCATCGTCATTGAAGAGCGGCTGGTTGTTAAACGTCCAACGGATGTTGAGGGGCAGGTCGCCCTCCGTCAGGGTACACTGGTACGTTATATATTGGCCCAGATGGGTGGGCTGCGAGCCGGTGGCAAAGGGCGTGATTTGTGGCAGAACTTGCGGGATACACAAAACAAAAGCAGTCAACTCAACGAACAACAAAGGACCAAAAATGAAGACAAATAAGGTGATCTCTATCTACGGCATATGCATATGGATTTGGATCTCTAGCCCACCGTTGACAATCAGCGCTGCAGTGTACTCCACCATTTGGGCCTTGTTTCTGGCCCGGCACGTATAGTTCCCGGCATTGTTGCCATTTACCGAATCAATGGTCAGCACATTGACCTTCTTGCCGATTTTCGAGGTGGTGACCCCGTGATACTCGTTGATGGCATAGTCATTGAACAACCAGGTGATGTCCACGGGCTGATCGCCCTTCGAAATGGTGCATTGCACGGTCACCGAGTCCCCGAAATTGGCTGGCTCATCCCCGAACTCAAAGGGACTGATATGGGGCGGTACTTGGGAAGAGGTGAGCAATCGAAGGGTATAGTACATCTATGGGTCATGTTCTTTGATCTTTGCAGATCCCCAGTTAAAAACCTTACAACTAGCTACAAAAGCCAAGACACAAAAGCCAAAGCAAACATGCAGTCTGTATATGCGTACTGTGTGTGGGAAAACAGGAGTGGGTGTACAAATAGAAACTAACTAAACCAGAAGGACACTGAAGTGCTGTACAGAAGCTCTGACTTCGCAGGGAAGTACCATTAACTGTCAACTGGGCCGTGTAGACAGCCGATGCCCACAGATTCCTGGCCTTGCAGGTGTAGTTGCCCACGTGGCGGGCACTCACGGCATCGATCATCAGCACACTCAGGCGCTTTCCCATCTTGGAGGTGGATATGCCCGAGTAGTGGTTGATGGGGTAGTCGTTAAACATCCACTCGATGTCGAGTGGCAGGTCACCGGAACTGACCAGGCAGTTCACGGAAACCGAATCCTCAAAATTCGCCGCCACTTCGCCAAAGTCAAAGTGTGCAATTTTGGGGGCAACTAGTGACATAGATAGGGAAAGCTACAATAAGCTTGGGTTCTTAAAACAAAACTACGAAATAAAACAATAATTATAAAAATCACAGGGTGCGCTCCGTGGGAAAGTCTCCATCAGTACCATTAACTATGAGTTCAGTGGTGTAGTTGACGGCTGCCGCGTGGTTCTTTGCCCGACAACTATACTTTCCCGCATGCCTAGCCTGCACACTATCGATGCTCAGCATACTGTTTCTCTTGCCACCCTTGACCACGTTTATACCGGAGTAGGAGCTAATTCCGTAGTCGTTGAAGAACCACTCGATATCAATGGGCAAATCGCCGGAGGAGATTAGACAAGTCACCGAAACGGAGTCCTCAACATTGGTGGGTTCGTCTCCGAAGTCAAAGGGCGTGATTTTCGGAGGAACTTTGGAGTAAAGGTGGCTTTTAATAAAAATTACTTGAAAATAAATATCAATCTAGTACTTAGAGCGAACTTAAGAAGCTTGTAGGTGTACCATTCACTATTAGTTCGGTGGTATAATTCACAGCAGCAGCGTGGTTCTTAGCCCGGCAACTATACTTTCCGGCATGGCGAGCTTGGACACTATCAATACTTAGCACGCTGTTCCTCTTTCCACCTTTAACTACATTTATGCCGGAGTACGAACTAATTCCGTAGTCGTTAAAGAACCACTCGATGTCGATGGGTAAATCCCCATTGGCAATGAGACACATAACAGAAACGGAGTCCTCCACATTCGTCGGAGCGTCACCGAAGTCGAAGGGCGTAATTTTGGGTGGAACTTAGTTTGGTTTTATGGGAGGAAATAAACGATAGACTTAAATGAAGGTGGCAATCAGCTACGAATTTTTACAACTATAACCCAATGACCATTGACAACTAGAGCCGCCGAGTATTCACTGCTGGCCGCCTTGTTCTTGGCCTTGCAGCTGTAGTTCCCCGCATGTCCAGCATGAACGGAATCTATCGTAAGTACACTGGTCCTTTTGCCACCTCGCAGCACAGCGATGCCCGAGGCGTAGTTAATGGACTCCTCGTTGAACAGCCACTCGATGTCGATGGGCAGATCACCAGAGGAAACGAGGCAGCTCACCGAAACGGAGTCCTCGAAGTTGGCAGGGGAGTCACCAAAGTCAAAAGGAGCTAGCTTCGGTGGGGCTTTTGTGTGAGTTGAGTGCAAAACGGCGGGGGGAGAACAGAAAGTAAACTTTAAGAAAAATAAACGCTATTCTATTGAATTTAGTAGCACACGTGTACCATTCACAATCAGTTCGGTTGTGAAATTAACCACAGAGGCATGGTTCCTCGCTCGACAACTGTATTTCCCCGCGTGACGAGCATGGACATTGTCTATGGTCAGCATGCTCGTTCTCTTTCCGCCTCTGTAGACGGTCATGCCGGAGAAGGAGCTAATCCCGTAGTCATTAAACAGCCACTCTATGTCGATGGGCAGGTCTCCGCTGGAGATCAGGCAGGTCACCGAAACCGAATCCTCCACATTAGTAGGTTCATCGCCGAAGGTGAAGGGAGTGATTTTTGGAGGAACTATGGGTTAACCAAAGTGTTGATAAATACGCAAGAATACACAAAACAATAAGCTAATCTAAGCCCAACTAATTAGTGTACCATTCACAATCAACTCAGTGGTGTAGTTGACCGCTGCTGCGTGGTTCTTTGCGCGGCAACTGTACTTTCCCGCATGACGAGCATGGACATTGTCTATGGTCAGCATGCTGGTTCTTTTTCCACCTCTGAGGACAGTCATTCCCGAATACGAGCTGATTCCGAAGTCATTAAATAGCCACTCTATGTCGATGGGCAAGTCTCCGCTGGATATCAAGCAAGTCACAGAGACTGAGTCCTCCACATTGGTGGGATCCTCGCCAAAGGTGAAGGGTGTGATTTTGGGGGGAACTGAAGGGATTGGAGTGTGATAATAACTAAAGGAACTTAAGTCTTGTAAGCCTAATTTTAAGTTTTCCCCTAAAGATTTGCTGTACCGTTTACTACAAGATCGGAGGTGTAGTTGACTGCAGCTGCATGATTCTTCGCCCGACAACTATACTTTCCCGCATGGCGGGCTTGGACATTATCTATGCCCAGGACACTACTGCGCTTCCCTCCCTTGACCACAGTGACGCCAGAGTAGGAACTTATGCCGTAGTCGTTGAAAAACCACTCAATATCGATTGGCAAGTCGCCGCTGGATATTAAACAAGTGACCGACACCGAGTCCTCGACGTTGGTGGGCTCGTCTCCAAAGTCGAAGGGTGTGATTTTCGGGGGAACTTTGGGGTTACAAAGACATAAATCAAACGAAAATCTTACTAAATAATACGAAACACCAAACACAAGTTGAGAAACCCCTTAACAGATATACCGTTCACAATCAGGCTGGTGGTGTAGTTCACGGCAGCGGCATGATTCTTCGCCCGACAACTATAATTTCCCGCATGGCGGGCTTGGACACTGTCGATACTCAATACACTATTGCGTTTGCCGCCCTTTACAACAGAAATTCCCGAATAGTGGCTAATGCCGTACTCGTTGAAGAACCATTCAATATCGATGGGTAAGTCTCCGCTGGATATAAGGCAAGTGACTGATACGGAATCCTCAAAGTTGGTTGGCTCATCTCCAAAGTCAAAGGGCGTTATCTTTGGGGGAACTTGGGGGGCAAAAGTAAGTCAATTTAAAGTGAAAAATAAATGGAAATATGTATCTAAATACTACATTAAATGGATCTACCGTTCACAATAAGGTCGGTGGTGTAGTTAACAGCAGCGGCATGATTCTTCGCCCGACAACTATAATTTCCCGCATGGCGGGCTTGGACACTGTCGATGCTCAGGACGCTATTCCGCTTTCCGCCCTTCATAACCGAAATTCCCGAGTAGGAACTAATGCCGTATTCGTTGAAGAACCACTCAATGTCGATGGGTAAGTCCCCAGTGGAGATGAGGCAGGTCACCGAAACGGAGTCCTCAACATTGGCGGGCTCTTCACCAAAGCTGAAGGGAGTGATCTTGGGTGGAGCTTGAGAGGGTGGGATAGGGAAAACAAAAGTCCGAACTTCAAAAACAAAACAATCATTTTAGGTCAAGGGTTTCCCTGCCAACCGTTCACAATCAGGGCCGCCGAGAACTCGCTGCCCGATGCCTTGTTCTTCGCCTTGCAGGTGTAGTTCCCCGCGTGACCCGCATGCACAGAATCTATGGTCAGAAGACTAGTGCGCTTGCCCCCTCTTAGGATTGCAATGCCTGTGGCAAAGTTGATTGGCTCCCCGCCAAACAACCACTCGATGTCGATGGGCAGATCCCCGGAGGTGACCAGGCAGTTCACAGAAACCGAGTCCTCGAAGTTCGACGGCGACTGCCCGAAGTCGAAGGGCGCAATTTTCGGTGGTGCTTGTGGGGATCAAAGGATGTGGGGATTAAAATCATAATTGAACCAATAACATGTAGCTCTATCTGATCCAAAATACCATTCCCCCTCAATACCATTCACAATCAACTCTGCCGTGTATTCTGCGGCATCCGCATCGTTACGAGCCTTGCAGGTGTAGTTCCCTGCGTGTCCTGCGTGCACCGAATCGATGGTCAGGATGCTGGCCTTTTTGCCACCCTTGACTATGGACACTCCAGTATATGCGTTTATGTGGGCCCCGTTGAACAACCAAGTGATATCCATGGGCAGATCGCCCAAGTAGATCAGGCAATTCACGGAGACGGACTCCTCAAAGTTTACGGCATGGTCGCCGAAATCGAAGTGTGCGATTTTTGGGGGCACTTCGCGGAATGTGGAAGAGTGGGTAGTGTTAAAGAATAAATAAATCGAAAAATGAGGAAGTACATAAAACGGATTGTCAAACTTTTAAAAGTACCATTCACCACCAGTTCGGCGGTAAAGTTAACGGATGTGGCACGGTTGACTGCCACACACGTATAATTGCCAGCGTGGTGATCCCGGACAATGTCAATGGACAACGCGCTGATCTTTTTTCCCAGCTTGACCATGGATACATCGTATACGTTGTCATTGATCTCACGTCCGTTGAAGAGCCACGCAAAGCTAACCGGGAAGTCGCCCGAGGTAACCAGACACTGAACACTAGCCGATTCCCCAAAGTTTGAGGGCTCATCTCCGAAATCGAATGGGGCAATTTTCGGAGCCACTTTTTGTGGTATTTAGTTGGGGGGTTAGGGAGGTAAAAACGAAAGAAAAAATGAAAGGTTAATTAACACATTTCAAGACTATTAACCATTGACTTTCAGCTCGGCCGTGTGGTTAGCGACTCCAGCCCTATTTTCGGCAATGCAGGAATAGTTGCCAGCATGTTTGGCCGATACCGCCTCGATTGTCAACTCATTGATGCGTTTGCCGCGCTTGGTGGTCAAGATTTCAAGGTAGTCCTCGAAGGGCTTATTGTTCAAGGTCCAGGTTATGTTGACGGGCAGATCCCCACCCGAAATGGTGCATTGTACATTCACAAACTCGCCGTAGCTCATGGACTCCTCGCCGAAGTTAAAAGGACTTATCTTTGGCAGTGCTGAGATAGGGTTAAAGGGTACTCAAATCAACTTAAGTAAAAACAACTCATAAGCGATGTGTAGGTTCTTAGGTCTAAGAGGCGGACTCTTCGCTTGGCTAACCATTCACGATCAGTCGTGCCGAGTGCGCCGTGACTCCGGCCTTGTTCTGCGCGTGACACGAATAGAATCCGGCGTGGTGAGCGGACACGGACTCGATGGAGAGCACATTGATCCGCTTCCCGATGCGCGAGAAGGAAATGTCATGGAAAGTATCAATGGTGGCGTTGTTCAGCAGCCAGGTGACGTTCATGGGCAGGTCTCCGCCCAAAATAGTGCACTGCACGGACGCAGGTTCTCCGTAGTTCAAAGGCTCCTCCCCGAAATCAAAGGACGCTATCTTGGGTGCCACTTGGGGAATAGAAAATGCAGTCCAAATGAGAGAGGCCCATATGCAAAAGAAGTTCACAGTTAACCCGCGCGCCCAGTTAGATAGACAGTTAGAGAAATGGGGTTGGATTAGTAGCAACGTATCAAGGCCTTTAGTAACCGCAACCACTAGAACTAAGCCATGGCAATCAACTTCAGTACCGTTCACTGTCAGATCAACGCTATATGTTGTAGTTCCAGCGCTATTACTGGCTATGCAGGTGTACCGGCCGGTGTGGGCGGGAGTGGCACTCGGAATGGAGATCATGCTCGTCTTGTCGCTGATGCGATTCGTTCGCATCTGGGGCTGCACCTGATCGGAGCCGTAATCTCCAGCGCTGCGCTCGAAACTCCAGTGCACCTTGATGGGTCGGTCGCCTTTTTGGATTTGGCAAAACAAATCCACCGAGTCGCCCATATTGATCAGATCCTCGTAGGCGAATGGCACAATTTGGGGCAGAACTGGGAAGTGAGTGGGACGGTGGTGGGTTTAAAATGATCTCAATCAACAGAACACTAATCTAAGACTACGAATGTTAGTGGGTAACCATTGACGAGCAGCTCGGCGCTTGAGCTCACGTTCCCCGCATTGTTGCTGGCCACGCAGCTATAGTTTCCAGAATTGGCGGCCTTGACAGATTCTACCGTGAGCAGGCTAATCCGTTCCCCGATCTTGCTGGCCATCACGCCAAGGTGCGTGAAGAGGGGCAGGCCATTGTGGGTCCAGCGGATCCTCAGTGGCAAATCGCCCTTGGCCACGTGGCAGGTCAACTGAACGCTGTCGCCCTCGTTGGCCTCCGCATCGAAGCTAAACGGATGGATGCTGGGCAGGACTGGGATAGATGGGGGATATCACTTAAAATCGAAAAAGTCGAAATCGAAAAGTAAACCAAAATAATGTGTCTACTGCGATTAAATCGAGGGGCAGTAACCGTTGACTTGCAACTCCGCGCTGTAGCTGCTCTCGCCCGCCTCATTGCGAGCCAGACAGGTGTAGACCCCACGGTGCTCGGCGGCTATGTAGTCGATGTTCAGGGTGCTCGACTTGCTGGACATTCGGCCGATGACCACGTCTAGGTCACCACTGTTGAGGGTGTGATTGTTGAGAGCCCAGGTAATATTGATGGGCAGATCGCCCTTGATGGCCGTGCACTGAATGCCCATGGTTTCGCCCGAGTTGGATGCCTCGTCGCCGAAGTCAAAGGGTCGAATTTGAGGAGGCACTGGATCGAATAGTTGGCGGGACAGGAGTGATGGCGAGGAGGGGGGAGGAGGAGAAGAAATAAAGACATAACTTAAGAGCCACTTCCTTGTTGGGATATTAACCATTGACCACCAATTCAGCACTCTGCTCGGAAGTCCCCGCCGCATTGGTGGCTATACATTTGAACAGGCCCCGATGTTGGCCATTGATGGCGTCGATGCTCAAGGAACTCAGCTTGGGGGACATTTTGATGATGCGTATTCCGACGTGCTCGTTCGTTATCGGCTGTCCATTCAGAGTCCAGTGCAGCTGGAGAGGGGTGTCGCCCTTGAAGACCATACATTGGACCGCGGTGCTGTCTCCGTAGTTTGAGGGTTCCTCCCCAAAAACAAAGGGCATAACCTGCGGTGGCACTACAGCCAAATAGGCATAGAGAACTCGCTAGTATTTGCTCTACCATAATGCCAAAACAGCTAGGATACTTCTTGATGCTAATTCTTCTGATTTGTAGACTGCTCCAACACCAAACACCACAAGCAATACTAAGTCAAAACAATATAGATAGAAAGCGTGCTCTTAATTCTCCTTATTCAATATTTCTTGTGTGGACAAACCATTCACTTGCAGTTCAGCTACATATTCGCTGGTCCCCGCCGGATTTGTGGCTATGCACTTGTAGACACCGCGATGGAAAGCATTTAGGGAATCAATGTTTAACAGACTCGTGCGCTTATTCAGACGCATCAAGGTAAACCCGTTTTCGCCGTTAATGATTGGAGCGGAGTTGAGGGACCAGCGAATCTCCAGGGGCAGATCTCCCTTGGGCACCACACAGTTGGCACTGGCAATATCGCCGACATCGGCGGCTGATTCGCCGAAACTAAAGGGCAAAACCTGGGGCGGCACTAAATGGACAGGAAATAAATGGTAAATTAAAACTCAAACAAAAAGAATTTAAAATAAAAGCGTTGAACGATGAGTATGCTTTGAGTAATAACCATTCACGTGCAATTCAGCGCTGTATTCAGCGCTTCCCGCCTTGTTGGAGGCAATACATCGGTACAGTCCGCGATGCCTGGCCTCAAGGGAGTCGATGCTCAAGGAGCTGGTACGCGGATTAAGGCGCGACAGGGAGAATCCGTGTTCACCGGTGATGATGGGTGCCGAATTCAAGGTCCAACGGATCTCCATTGGCAGGTCGCCCTTGGGGACCATACAAAAGCCACCCGCGATTTCACCTGTATTGGCTGGCTCAGAACCAAAGTCAAATGCTTGGATTTGGGGAGGAACTTTAAAAGTGGAGACGAGGTGGAGACAATCAAAAGTAAAGTAATAAAAAGCTAAAATCAAATAAAAACTAAACACTATTGATAGTGATAAAGTCGAACAAACCGTTCACATCTAGTGTGGAAACGTATTCAGCATATCCCGCTGAATTGTTAGCTATGCACTTGTAGCTACCCCGATGGACAGCTTCCAAGGAGTCAACATTCAGCGAACTGGTGCGCTTATTCAGCCGCACCAACGTGAATCCCATTTCACCATTCACAATGAGTGCGGAGTTTAGCGTCCAGTAGATGTCTAGTGGCAAGTCCCCTTTGGGTACCACACAGTTTACACTGGCCACTTCCCCGCGATTAAGGGGCTCATCACCAAAGGAAAAGGGGCTGATCTGTGGTGCAACTACGAGGAGGAAATCCATTTTAGATCGAGACGTAGACAAGGCGCTCAACCACCAAATAAACCAGGATCGTGTTAGTAGGAAGCAACTTTACAGGCGCATATATAGACAGATCCAACAGGGAGTTTCACCAACCATTCACTTGCAGCTCAGCGGAGTAAATCGCTTGACCCGCCTGATTTTGAGCCACACAGCTGTAGGAGCCCCTATGCTTGGCACCCAGTGCATCCGCACTTAGGTAGCTGGTACGCTGATTCAACTGCATTACTGTGAATCCATCCACACCGGTTGCCACACGCTCACCATTCAAAGTCCAGTGGATTTTCAGGGGTAGGTCCCCCTTGAGGACAACACAAGTGATGCTCAAAACATCGCCCATGTTAAAGACTTCGCTGCCAAAACTGAAGGGCAGCACATGGGGAGGTACTACAGATTTGAAAAGGTTTAAGGCAATAAAAGTAAGTAAAATTATAATAAAAATAGTAATAATGGAGCTTGGAGTGAGGTCCCTGGGTCCGTGTACCGTTGACTTTGAGCTCCGATGCGGTGAAACTAGACCCTGCCTTATTTTCGGCTATGCACTTGAAGACCCCGCGATGATCCTGCTCCACGGCGGCTATGTTCAAAACGCTTGTCCTTGGGGACAGTTTCAATATGGTGATTCCCTCCTCGCCGTTGATGATCGGCCGCGAGTTTAGCGTCCACTTGATGGTGATTGGCACATCGCCCTTCTGGACCATGCACTGCACTCCGGCATTCTCGCCCGTGTTCACAGGATCATCGCCGAAGGAGAACGGCGCTATCGAAGGTGGAACTGCATGGCATGGAGGGAACAAAGGAGGAAGGGAAATGGGTAATGACGAAAAAAGACGCAAAAACCAAAAGCAAATCTTAAGAGATCAACAGGGATTAACCATTAACAGCCAGGATGGCTGACTGCCTGGTCTCGCCCGCATTGTTGGTGGCCACGCAGGAGTAATTCCCAGCATGCCGAGCCCTGACGGATTCGATGCTCAAAACGCTGATACGTTGACTGTTCCGGGTGACTATCAGACCATCGTTGGTGTAAACACGACCGCCGTTCTTGGTCCAGGCTATGTCGACGGGCAGATCCCCCCGGTTCACGGTGCAATAAGCGGACACCATGTCTAGTTCGTTGATCACATCCTCGCCGAAATCGAAGGGCATTATTTGTGGCAGGACTGGTTGAGCCGGGAAGGGAAGGCAAAAAGCAAAAGATGACAGGAAAAACTTAAGAAATTTGCTCCTTATCTGCTGAACAATAACCATTGACTGCTAGCATGGCGGACTGGATTATGGCCCCCGCGTTGTTGGTCGCCACGCAGGAGTAGTTCCCCGCATGGCGTGCTCGCACGGATTCAATGCTCAGGACACTCAGGCGCTGGCTGTTCCTGGTCACAATTAGACCATCGTTGGTGTAGACCCGACCGCCGTTCTTTGTCCAGTAGATATCCACGGGCAGATCGCCCTTGTTCACCGTACAGGAGGCCGAGACCATGTCCAGCTCGTTGATGCTCTCCTCGCCAAAGTCAAAGGGCACGACCTGGGGTAAGACTGGGATGGGGTTGGGTTAACAGAAGAGAACCAAGGAAAATCAAATCGATCTATTCGAGGCTATTAACCATTGACGGCCAGGACTGCCCATTGCCGAGTTTCGCCTGCATTATTGGTGGCCACGCAGGAGTAGTTCCCGGCATGCCGCGCCCTGGCAGACTCAATGCTCAGGACACTCATGCGGGTACTGGTCTTAGTGACCACAATACCATCGTTGGTGTACACTCGGCCGCCGTTCTTCGTCCAGGCCACGTCGATGGGCAGGTCGCCCTTGTTGACCGTACAGGAGGCTGAGACCATGTCCAGTTCGTTGACGGTCTCCTCGCCGAAGTCGAAGGGCACGATCTGGGGCAGAACTGCGGAGGAGGGCGAGGAAGCGAGGAGGGTCAAGAAAACAGAACTCAAAATCCAAGGAACTAATGTATCTACGATCTACGAATCGAAGAGGGCCTAAGCGAACCGTTGACGCGCAGCTCTGCCGTGTGGTAGATGACCCCGGCCGCATTCCTGGCCACACACGTGTAGTTCGCCCGATGGCGAGCATGCACGGACTCTATGCTCAGCATGCTGATGCGCTGCGTCGTCTTTGTGATCAGGATGCCGTCGTTGGACATCAGGCGACCCACTCCCGTCGTAGGATCCGGAGCCGTTGTCCAGTACAACTCCAGGGGAGTGTCGCCCTTGTTCACTGTGCACGTGGCCGAGACCATGTCGTTCATGTTGATGGTTTCCTCACCAAAATCAAAGGGTACGACCTGCGGTGGAACTGAGCGAGAGGTTGGGGATTCGATTGAGAGAAGAACGAACGACCAACGACGAGGCTGAAAATTTTAGACCCACCCAAAACAATAGGTTCGACCAGAGCATTCTCTGGAAAAATAAGCATTTTCAAATTACCCATGACTTGCACTTCCAGGGATCCTCGAGCGGAGTATCCTTCCTGATTCTTGGCCACACAAGTGTAGGTCGCTTGGTCCGAGTTCCGTTCCACATTCTCGATTATCAGCGTTCCGTTGGGGAAGACCTTCTGTTTGCGGTTGATGGGCAGGGCACGGTTATCTAACGAAAGAATGAAAGTTTCATGAAGGCAAACTGAAGGATCCCTGTTGATTCAAATCGGTACTCACCCCGCTCCCAGACAATAGAATCGATGGGGTAGCCAGCTACAGGACAGGTGACCATCAAAGTTTCGCCTGCAACAATCGCCTTCTTCTCCATTTGCCGGATGTAGGGCAGTCCATATACGTTTAACTTGGCCGAGTGTTCAGCCACGCCCACTTTGCTCTTGGCTATGCACTTGTAGAGGCCGCCATCGTTGGCGTGAACCGAGGTTATGTTCAGATAGGAAACCACATCCCCGTTGACCGTCACATACTGTCCGACCTGATAGCGGTCGTTGTTGGCGATTTTCTTTCCGTCGAGTTCCCAGGAAATTTCGGGCGTGGGGTTTCCGCCGGCGACGCACTTGAGGAACACACTTGGTCCAGGTTCCATGGTCTCTTCCTGGAAGGCCTGTCGGATGACGGGAGGATCGAAACGGCCTCCAAGCTTCAGCTCAGCACTGGCCTCGGCAGATTCCTGGTCGTTCCTTACGAAGCACTGGTACATGCCCTTGTCCTCCTTCTTCACGGATTCGATGCGCAGGACGGGTTCGCTGTGTCCGATGGCCTTGCCGTCCTTCATCCAGCTGACGGTCTTGATGGGATTTCCAGTGTACTGGCAGGTGAATACGGCGGGGCGTCCGAAGTCCACTGTCTGAGTGGGGGGGTCGATCTTAGCGGACAAGGGAGCAGTGACGGTAAGCACGGTCTCAACGCTCTCGCCTCCCACGGAATTGTTCACCACGCACAGGTATTTGCCGGAGTCCTCGACCACTGCGTCCTTGATAATGAGCGTGCCGGAGACCTGCTTCACTCGGTCATTTAGCACTACAGCTTGTTTACGGGTTGTTCCTTCGATGAACTTATACCATCTGGAACGAGAACGTAGTGTTAGTAGGGAACTCTGGGGTGATGGTTGGCATCGGGATTAAGTGGGCACAGAGTGAGTCAGTCTATTTGGTGAAGAGAATTCGTGTAAGACGAACTACTTACCTTTCCGAAGTCTGGTGACGGATCTTACTTACCTTCATAACCAATATATTTTATATTTTATTGTACCTGCTCATTCTGTGCACCACTTTTGGGGACTTGGGGGAACCTATCCTCGACCTAGTAATGGGGGCCTAGTAAGCTACGTAGTGGATACCCCTGTCCAACAACCCTTCTTTCATAAAATGGCCTAAGCAATCTCCCGATACTGTGGGAGCTAGTTCTGAAATAAATCCTAATTCTGTGAGTTCCCATTTC